GTCTTGTGTGATTTCTTCTTCACCTTAGAAATTTGGCTGCACTTTAAATAACCTGCTCTTAAACATAAACATAAGCTATTAAACTTGCATAAGCATCTGTGCAGCTTTCACTCATGCAGTGCTGAGTTTCAGAAGAACCGTTCAGCTGTCTTGGCAGGCAGATTCATCCATCAGACAGACATGTTTAAGACTTTTTGATAGTTCCAGGTTCCTGTAACAGTGAAAGTCCAATTTTTCTTCATTCACTGAAGGTCAAGCTTCTGAAAACAGTAATGCACAAAAGTCACAGTAATGGGACATGTCTAGACAGTACCTTAAACAACAAAATTGTATGAGTGCATCTTGTTCCTCAGGATTATTACACTAATATCATCTGAGAACCCAGAAAAAAGTTTAACAAACTGAGTCTTTCCTCCACATCTCCAACTAAACTAGCCTTTTTTATTCCTACTTTTTTTATTTTGCATTGCTGTTATGTTTACTTCAGCTGCCCATGTTTGTCTGCATCCTGCATGACCATGGTTATTCTTTTGTCCACAAAGAGAAATTTCTCTCCAATACAATCTCTATGGTTGCTCTCTACATGTCCTTAAACTCCTCAGGAAGATCCATTTTGTCATCATCTCCTTCATGACAGAGTAATAGCTGGATCTCTGTCCTTTCATAGGAAAGGAGAGTTTTTACTTCATATGGATGGGCAATGTATTATTCTTTGTGCACAGGAAGAAAAGCATTCCTTTTCCTGGCTTTGCAATTTCTTAAGATTTTTCTGCACCAAGCAGCTTGCAATTTGTAGCGATGCAATTGTAAAAAGGAGAAAAAAAATGTTAAAAGGAGGAGCCATATGTGGCATTCACATTGTTTATGTGACTCAGGATAAAGATGCTGTTTTCAAGATTACTGTATAAAGCTACATCCATCTTTAAACCCATAAAACTTAGAGACCTTATTATCAAAATTGCTGTTTATCAATGAGATGCAGGGATTGCTGTCATCAAAGCAATCCTTGATTAGTCTTGGGTGGCTGGCTACAAAGAAGCTGTTTTCCTAGAGCAAGGAATGTATTTGGCTTAGTTGTGGTTTTTTTGCTTGTTTTTTTTTTTTTTTTTTTTCTGGATTCTGAAGGGTCTTTGCATGGACTTTGGGTAATAAACACTTTTTGGAGGGGAACGGGTCACTGATAAGCTTTGGATTTCAGGAATCCCCCTGCTTTGATTTCCTCAGTTCTCATTTTTCAATGCAGGTTTTGCAAGGAAGCTAGCTAATACTATGCTGTTCCTCAGCTTAGATATCTTTATTTTACCGTGTTACTTACCTTATTAACAACTCTGCCATGTTAGCATAGGCCTCTGCAATGTGAAATCCTGTTTTAGAATGGGAAACCTGGAAAAATAGCAGTTCACTCCAGTTCAAGCATAGCCCATTTATGTATTGATGCAAAGTACTCAAGACATCTCTGTGGACTTAGCATATGATTGCGAAGAAAAAAAAAAAATAGTATTTCAGCTATTATGCACCTAGAAATAGCTCAGCTACAGCTTGGAGCATGAGAACTTCTTACCACAAAGGTGCAGGAGAGCAGATAGGGCCAGTGCAGTCTGAGGGTAGCAGAGCTAATGCCAACCCTTCCTGAAAATTGCCATGGGATTTTTAAATGTCTCTGACCTCCTATAGAGAAGCTGAAAGACTTGACCTCAGTTCAGTGTTTCATCTGGAAAGCAGTAAGTGCTTCTGACAGTGCAGGTTTTCCTGAGAGCTGTGTGGAAAAGTCAGCATTGGACACGAGCCCAGTCTTAGTGTTGCACTGAAACTCAAGACTTTGGGGGCTTGGAATCACTTGACTTGTTGCCTATACTCTGACTGATGGGGGACTGCAGGAATTGGAGTCCCTGTGTTACTGGCAAAGAAGTCCTTCCTAAAATTACTAATGGGGAAAATGTGGGGGAAAAAAAAGAGTTTCATTTGTTTAGTTGCATGCCCAGATACACAACACCTATTCAGGGAACAGAAGGCTTCATTTCTTAATCCAGTCACTTGGACACTTTCCGAGGGCCTTGAATGGGAAGGGGAAAAACAAGAGGTTTCACAGAATCACGGAGTGGTTGAGGTTGGAAGGGACCTCTAGAGATCATCTAGTCCAGCCCCTCTGCTCCAGCAGCGAAACCCCAGCTCCTGCCCTCAAGTGCTCACAGACCGGGATCGTGACAAGAGGACACGGGGAGCTCGAGCAGTGCGAGGCAGTGAGATACAAGGAACGTTTTGCAGGTGCCCAAAAGTGCTGGCCTGCGGCTTCCTCGCAGGTGGCCGCTCTCCATAGTGGTCATGGCAGAGGCAAAGCTCGAAAGGAGATTTGATGGAAAGCAAGATGGAGCCTTTGTGGAGAGATTTCACCATGATTTAGAGGACAGGCTTTGGGAAGGCATAAAAGTGTCTGCAGGAGACATGGCTGAATCTGCTATCCTTAGTGAGGGAAGAAAGTGCTCTGCTGTGACAGAGTATTAGATTTAAGAGGCAGGGAAAGATGAAACACTGAAGGGGCTTAGAGGTAAAGGCTTGAGCTTCTTTTCTCCCATTCCACAGAAATATTTATAATATCAACACGTGCACAACCAAATCAAGATGAAAAATTGGAATATCTGCAACAGTGCTTTGATGCTTTTTAGCTGTTGGAGATTGCAAAAAAAAAAAAAAAAAAAAAAAAAAAAAAAAGGCTGTTTTGTTCAGCTTCGTCTCAGAAAGAAGGTCCACAGTATATCCTCACTGATTGCCTCAGGAATGATCCCACAGCGCAGATGGGCAGTCAGGACCTTCTGCCTTTCTCTCCGCTGTTGCCTTCTGTGCCAATCCCGAGTTGGCCCAAGGCTGTCACCGCACCTTTGGGGACAGCCACTGAGATCCCGTCACAGGCTATTGTGCGGGGTCTGTGTATCCCTCTCCCACTGTGTTCGTGCACCTCAGGGGTGCCCTGGGGTGAACATTTGCACTAGTCAGACTTTGTGCAAGAGGGACATCAGGCTTGGAAAGATTTTACCACAGACTGTAAAGTTCTGGTGGGAGAGACTCCTGTTTCCCCAGGATAAGAGCTGTTCCTGCTCACAAATAATTCATTTCTTCATATTTCATTGATTTTGTTTTTTATTCTAATTAGCTTAGGCTTAAAAGGAACTATATTTGAAGCAGAAAAACAGAAAATGTCAAATTGAAATTGTCAACATGTTTTTTTTCAGGCAATTGAAAACTTCAATACATATTTCAAGTAAAACTCCTGAAAGCGGAGACTCTTCCTTCTCTGTGAAGAGTTTTCACTTTGGTGAAATGCTGTTTTTCAATTAAGAAAATATTTAGTTTAATGAAGAGAGAAGCTGGTACTCAACATTGGGGAGTAAAGAAATGAGGTTAAAGCACTGACAATGAGGTTGGTCCTGGTGACCACAGGGAAAGTAGATTTAGTCAAGAACTTACCAAGGAGGTCACAGTAGCCGGTATAAGGTGTTAGAGCAAAGATTTTGGTGGCTGAGAATGGAAAAAAGTCAATAGATTTTAAACATCTTTAGTAATGAGATGTCAGAAGCCCTTTGTGTGGGTCTAGAAAGATGAACTCAACACCCAAACCGCCAGGGGCTGGTTGCTTGGTGTTACTGCTGTGGTAGAGAAAGGACAGGACTTGGGAGAACATGATAAGATATACTGGAAAGGATCAAAGACACAAGATAAGAAAAGGAATATATATTATATATGGATGATTAGGTGCATATATATGTTATTTATCAAGAAGACAGGCCAACATTTGAGATTAGATGGCTGAGAATGACCATGAATAAAGCTTCACATTTGTAATTAATGTACAGGCAGATACTTAATCAGACCAAATCCTGTATTTTTTATCTCTGCAAGAGTGATGCTATATCTTTTTTTTTATCCCAAAATAACAGTCTCTTATAATTATTTTCCCTTTCTTTCTCTTTTTGTGTTGTATATGAGTGGCAATACTTTGGTTAATCCTTTCTTGACAGTGCTGGTGGATGCTGTAACTTTACATGAATTTCAGAATACACAAGGTCTGCAGCGCTATCGGAAGCAAAACTGACACGTGGAAGAGTTTTTAGCATCTTTCTTGAAAAATTGAATTAACAGGAGCAAAACATTTCCGTGGACAGGACAGACAGCATTTAGACCATGTTGAAATGAGAAATGTTAGTCATCACTCTGAGTAGATATTTCTGCCTATGAAAGAAGGATTGAATGCCTGACCTTCCTGGACACTTAGTGCCCCTAACTTTCACTCCGAAAACATTTAAGGTTTGGACACTGTTGAACTGGCTCAAAGGAAAGAACAGTTCCCTTCAAAGTTCTGTAAATGCTCCTAAATGTCGCCTTTGTCCTTAGTGATATCTGGTCTCTTTTGAACAAGAACTGACAGTGTTTAATATGTGATAGGAGATGTGTTCGGGGGGGAGATGTGAGGCTGGGACTCAGTCCTGCTTGGACAAGGGCACATTATCACCTGCACTACCTCACTGCATCACCTCAGTACAGATGCCAGCGGTGCGTTTAACCGAGCACTCAGGGCAAAGCTCCAGGGCAGCGGGTGAGTCCTCACTGGGAGTCACACAGAGCCACAGAATGGTTGAGGTTGGAAGGGACCTCAAGGGATCCAGTCCAATCCCCTGCTGCAGCAGGGACACCCAGAGCACGGGGCATAGGGCGGCATCCAGGTGGGTTTGGAGACCTCCAGAGTAGGAGACTTCACAACCCCCCTGGGCAGCCTGTGCCAGGGCTCTGTCACCCTCACAGGGAAGAAGTTCCTACTCACATGGAGATGGACCTGCCTGTGTTTCAGCTTACACCCATTGCCCCTCATTCTCTCACTGGGCACCACACGCGGAAGCCGGAGCATCTTTCCTGGGACGGGGCAGACGCAGCCCGGGCCTCTTTAAATCGTGGCTGGGCCGCAGTGCTCGGCACTGTTGCCATGGCAGAAATCTCCCCGTAGTAATCACCTCTCTCAGGGAAGGTTACAAAGACCCGGCGCACATGCTCAGAAATGCTGCTCTCGGGCTGCGAGCGGCTGGCAGCGGCCATTTCAAAGAGACCATCGCCAGGACGAGAGAGCCGTCAGGTAACGATATCTCTTGCTTTGTAGGAGGGGGTGGCTTTTCTCTTCCGCGCAAGTCCTCGGACGTGTCGCTGTTGCCGCTGGCGCGGCGGGCGGGAGCCCCATGGAATCCTGGCGGGTTGTCCGCGCAGACGGGTCGTGCTCCCCGACCAGCGACGGGGCTGGAGATAAATGGGGTGCAGGCTGAGGGCTGCGCTCGGGGAGCTCGGGTTTGCAGCAGGGCTCGTGTCCGAAGTTGAACCTAAGCTGGGCTAAATGATGTGTAAGGTGCTCTAAAAAAGAAGTTCAACACCATATCTGCACCTTTTCGTTGAATCTCTAAGGCATTGAGTCAACTATGGGAATAGCCTCCCCTGACCACAAAGGTTTCAGCTTTAGATACTTTAGAAGGACGCTTATATTGTCTTAATTTACTGTTATAACTGATGCATCCCAATGTAAACCTGCTGTCTCTGATTGCACTTGCTTTGCTTGCAGATTACCCTTAAAACAGAAAAAAACCCCAAGCCACTTGTTATTTTTTCATCCCTTTAATTTAACGACTAGAGAAATAAGAAAAGGATTACATCAGATCTCCCTAAATACTGGGAGAGGTAAAGCAATTCTGGCGTTATAGGAATTACATTACCACATCTGTTATTGATGTGACCCAAATATGTTAGTGATGGTACCACGTATGTGTCTCCCTTGCCTCTGAGCCCTCCCCTGCTCTTACATGTAGATAGAGGTGCACAGGAAGGGACCGTGTGTGGTGCCATTCCCTCCTTGGCTGTATTGCACATGCAGCAAGTGTTCATACAGAATGTGCAGCATGAGCTGTGTCTGAAACGGTGCCTTTGCATGTGTTGAACAACAGACCCCAAGATATGGGGAAAACCTTTCCCTCCTGCCTCCCTCCATTGCCTTTCCAGCTGTGACATGCTGGTTGCTTGGGGGGATGCTGTTCTTCTACATTCAGTGCACTGAGTCAATATTCTTATGCAATGCTTTTTGTTTGAACATCTTTTGTTCAATATGAACTGACTTAAAAGTCAGGAAGCGATGCCTTTTGTCCTGGGCTTAGCTAAAGAGAGTCTTCGTGTAGATTTTCTCTTTTTGTTACATCTTAACCTTATGTTTTTCCTTTCTATTTCCTCCCTTTGAACATACAGGAAGAGAAGCTAAATTTGGCTGAACTAAGGACCACCCTGTCAGTTTGCCAGGATTCATAAGGACTGTGATTGATACCTGTAATAGACAGTTGCAGCTTGTGCCAGGCCCTGTTTCCCGTTTCTTCTTGATCAGTTTACATGCTGAATCAAAAAAAATTATTTCATTTGAAATTGTATACTTCTCAAAAAACTTCACCTCTATGTGAAAGGGAGGTGTTGCTGGACCAGATTAGACCTCTCTTCAAGGTCAGGCCTTGCCTGGTTATGAAGTTCAGGACCAAATGGATGGCTTCAGGTCTTTATCTGAACACAGAATAGAGGGATACAAACAGGCAGTGAGTTTTTATTTAGTTACCACTGGAAATTCTATCTGTGAATTTGTTGCGGTTTAACACAAGTCTTTTTCCTCAGGTGCCTTCATAAAGGAATAAGATTTTATGATCAATTTTGTAGGTAATTAATGACAAAAATAGTTTTAGTTATGTTTGTGTAAAGATAGTAAATGAATAAAGAGAACCAGTGGGTGAAAAACCTCATTTCTAGGTTCAGGGCTATTTCATCCAGATAGCAGAGCTCTGTAATCCCTACAGGTTTGATCCCCAGCTCTAACAATGAACCAGATTTCCAGATTCATAAGTAGTGTGGAGATGTTTAGAAAGACAAAGATTGGAATTACAGATTGGGATGACTGTTGTTGTCATCCTGGCTTTTGCAATCCCAGCAAATGGACCCCCAATCTGGTAGGGATCTCCCCCTTCAGGTCTAGGGACGGTATCTCTAGGCCAGGCTTTATGTGCACTGCTGGAAAAGTACACAGAATTTCTGTCCATGTTATAATTGTACTGATTTTTTTTTCTTTTAAAGAATTGTCAATGCTTTTACTGTCACAAACAATAAGTTCTTTGTAACAAAACTTTGCTATCTAGTTTCTCAGTGACTTGTTTGTGTCTCTTGATAAAGGGAGAAGCACCCGTTCCCAAGATGCTGGCACGCTGCCTCCCAAGAGGAGCTGTCCTTACAGTTCCTTTAATTTTTCTGGTTGCACTGCTCCTCACAGAGCCTGTTAGAGCTGATCAAGAAGCAGGAACTGCCATACCAGCTGAAAGTATGTGCCACTATGTAGTTCTTTCACACAGCTTGTACTATAGTTTTCATTTTGCAGGACTCCATTGAAGATTGTCCAAATAATCCAGTCTACTCTGGAAGCTTCTTGCTCTTGTTGTTTTAAAACTGTAATATGACAGTGCACTGACGGTGCCTTCCTCATGCATCCAAGGCCTTCCGCCTTCCTCCCATAACCTCATGCTTGTTTCTGTCTCGCTTGCACCTGAAATCTGCCATTGCAGTGCACCTTCTCTTTTGCCCATCCCTTTCATCATGTTCATTCTTCCTGTGACACAAATCACACCACTTGCCTGCTTGCTTTTCAGAGACATTCTTGAGGTTTGCTTTCTTTCAAATGATACTCACCTCTCGTTTCATCTTTCTTTCTTTCTTGGTGCTGTCTACCATATTAATTTCAGTAGTGTTAGCTAAAAATGACTCAGTGAAGACAATAGGTAGGCACACTTCCTCTCTACCTGCAGCCTTCAGTCCCCTAATAGTCCTTCACTGGTCTCTACTGAGCTTATTTTATGTCACAACATAATGACAGGTCCTTGCATCAAGCTGTTGGTCTTTGAAGTGCTACCCTCTTCTACTGCTTCCTATATATCATAACAAAAGGGCTGGTGGTGCTACAGCAATGGGGGAGAAGGTCTTTTATGCTGCTCAGTGTTTATTTTTTGCCTCCTTTTTTTTTTCCCTAGCTAGTTAAAGAATGTGCTCCATGGGTTTCTCTCTCTCTACTGCTGTTTGTTATAGAGTAGTTCTTGTTACGTGGTGATCAAGACAAAACAGTCCTTGTGACTTGCAGTCTTGATTATCTAGATAGGAGAATGCAGTCTTAAATACTGCAATTAGTCCAGGATGTAGCAGCTTTGCTTATCAGCAATACCCAGCAATGAGAGGGCACTGTGTTTATCTGCTCTTTGCTTCACTGCCTTTGGACAAGGCTGTATCAAACTTAAAGCTGCAGCCAAAGTGATCTGTCTTTTGATAATGATCTCAATTGCATTCCATTAGCTTTCTATTTAGAGCTCAAGTTTGTGAGATTAGGAGACAAATTTTCCTTGAAACAGATCTGTGGTTTCAGATCTGTTTTCATTTCTAGAAATTAGATTGAAGATGTGCTCAGGGCTGTGGAGCAAAGTGAAGACTCAAGTTACAGGTTTAGTGTTTCCATACTTCTGTGAACTATGACAGAGAAGAGGGATGGTGGAAAAGTGGGGAAATGATATAAACGGATGAGAGAAACAATAATAAAGGAGAAAGAAATGAAGAAGGGAAAATGATTTTTTAAATGCAAATTTCTTGAAGCATTTCTTTTGTCATACACTAGGTGAACCATCTTGTTAAGAGTAAAACTTCGATTATTCAGCAGAGTTCATCAACACTGACTCTCTGCATTCCTGTCTGTAGGTCCCTGTCATGCTCAAAATCCATGTTTATTCCTTCTGTCTAATACTTCGTGCTCTTTATTTGTAATTCTCTACTTAACATTCCCCTAGGCCGGCCCTGTGTTGACTGCCATGCATTTGAATTCATGCAGAGGGCTCTGCAGGATTTAAAGAAAACAGCATATAATCTAGACACACGGGTAAGGAAATGTTTGACTTCTATTTATTTATTTATTTATTTATTTATGAAAGAAAATGCTGTAGATAGAAGCAGATAGGCTGGACAGATTTTGCCCAAGATGCTATCAATTAACTGTACTGTTCTATCTTCAAAGGTGATATTGGGTAATTTCATTTCACCACTCAAGGAAATAATGTTTGGAATTCTTCTTGGATTTATAAGGGACGCAGGAATTTTAGGAAAGTGTGAACCAAAAATCTTCAGCCCTCTCCCCTTCCCTTCCCCAAGTCAGAGGATGTTATCTAAGGACCTGCCACTCTCATTCCTAATGTTGAACACACACTTTTGTTCTTATAGGATGAGCAACATTCAGAACATCATTTATATTAAATGCTCATAAGAACAGAGCCAGGTCAAACAAATCACATTAAAATAAAATACTCCCCTGCACTGCCTCACTAATCCAGTCTTCTACCTCTTCTAATACACAGTCAAGACTCTTCACAGTTCGAAGCCAGCAAACTGGTCCTTTTGAAGAATGGTTTGAGGTAACTCTTAGCAGGGTACATGATACTTAATTGAAAATGGAGCTGTAGGAATGAAGATAGCTTGAATTATGGGTTATTACCAAAAAAAAAA